CTTGAGTTTTAAGCCCCCGGGTCCGGATTGGAACCAGTCGCCTACGTGGGAGTCCAGCGACATAGCCGTTATACGCTGACTGCTGGTCCCGGTTCTAGCCTCTTTTGATTAGTACGTTATCTCTGTGCCACAGGGCCTGTCCCTTTGCCCATTTTTTAATCAGTTGGTTGTTTTTTGTCTTAGAGGTGTAGGAATTCTTTATTTTTTGGATAGTAATCCCTTATCGTATATGTGATTTGTGAATATTTTCTCCCATTCTGTGGGCTACCTTTTTATTTTGCTAATAGTGTCTTTTCATGTTTGTTGGCGAGGGGGTACGTGCACTTGGCAGAGGGAGAAAGACAGAGAGTGGAAAAGAGAGAGAGGGATGGGGCATAGTCACACTGCAGTCACTACTCCTCCATTTCTCCACACTGTTGGGATTTTGGGCACACGTACACCTGTGCCCGTTGTATTTTTTAAGTACTTGGGGCTGGGATTTGGACCACTGTTGGTTATATGGGATCCGACTCCCTTAACCAGTAGGCTGCAGAACCAGCTGAACATAGTCTATAGCTGTACAGAATTTTAAAAAATCTCATGAAGTCCAATTTGTTTTTGTTTTTCTTTGAAAGAATTATTTTTTTAATTTAACTTTATTTATCCATTTGTTTGTTTATTTATTTAAATTTAACCAGAGGGAGGAATAGAGAGAGAGAGAGAGAGAGTGAGAAAGCAAGCCGGCAGGTCCAGGCCGACCATGTGGGAGTTCAGCGCCCTTGACCACCAACCCACCCATGGCCCTTGATTTGTTTTTCTTTTGTTGCCTGTACTTTTGGTGTCATATACAAAAAATACTTGCCAAGCCCAGTGTGGGACTCTTGCTCTCTGTCCTCTTGTGAGTCTGACTTCCTCCGGTCATACATTTAGGTCTTGGTCATTTTGAGGTAATTTTTGTATGTGGTGTTAGATCCAACTTTATCCTTTTGCATGGAGATAGCCAGTTTTCCCAGCACTTAGTAAAAAGACTGTCGTTAGCCTGCTTAATGCCTTTGTCTTAACACCTTTGTCAACAGTCGTTTAGCTGGACCAGCTGGTGACGTGGTGGTTAAAAGGCACTGGATTCCCACATGGCTGACCGTAGGTTAAGTCCCAGATCCGGTGGCTTGCTTTCTCGCTTTCCCTCTCTCTCTGTTACTCTCTGCCCAAAATTAAAAATATGAATAATTGAAGTTAAATAAAATAATTCTAATAGAAATCATTGAGCTATATATTATACAATTGATTTTTGCATATTAATCTTGGGATTGGCAACTTTTTTTTTTTTGGAGAGGTTTTTGCTATAGGGCTCATGCACTCACAAGGAAGAGAGAGAGAGTGAGTCAGAAAGCGAGAAATCCCCTCCCCCCCAGGGGAGATGGGTATGCCACAATCCCTTCTCCTCCATTCTCTCAGGATCTTGGGCACGCACGCACATGCGCCCGGCGTGAGTTCTAAGCCACCGGGTCCGGGACGCAAACTGTGGTCGACTACGTGGGAGTCCAGCGACATAGCCATTACGCTAACTGCTGGTTCCCGGGATTGGCAACTTTCTCAAACTCATTCATTTTAGTAGTTTATATGTAGATTTCTTTGAAAAAAATTTTTTTGAGAGGTTTTTGCTATAGGGCTCATGCACTCACAAGGAAGAGAGAGAGAGTGAGTCAGAAAGCGAGAAATCCCCTCCCCCCCAGGGGAGATGGGTATGCCACAATCCCTTCTCCTCCATTCTCCTCTGGGGATCTTGGGCACGCACGCACACGCACCTGGCGTGACTTTAAGCCACTCGAACTGCGGTTGATTATATGGGAGTCCAGCGACATAGCCATTACGCCAACTGCTGGTCCCTGGATTTTCTTTCTATTCCTTCATATCGACAGTGACAGTTTATTTTTCTTTCCTAATGCGTATTTGTTTATACTTTTTGTTTTATTGTTCCTCTTAGGGTTCTGCTGCAATGTTGAATGTCCGAAGCGCTTGGTTTGTTGTTTCTTGTTTCAATGTGAAAGCTTTTAGTACTTCTCCATTATATGGAATTTTGTCGGTGGTAGTGGTGATTCTCTTCAGCACATTAAGGAAGATCCTTTCTTCTTCTACTTTGTTGAGAATTTTTAATATTAATTAACTGGTGAAACTACATGAACTTGAGGTTCTCTTTGTTGGAAGATTTCTAGTTATGGATTCCGTTTATTTAGTGATTTATGGGGCTATTCACGTTTCCCATTCTTGTATCACTTTTGGTTATGTTGCATTTTCTTGACATTCTCTAGTTTATCCAAACATGCAGATGAATTGACAGAAAGTTAATCTGTGTGCAAGATCTGTAATGACGCCTCCTTTTTCAGTTTGACTGTTGGATATATGTACCTTTCTATTTTTTTTTCTTTTTAGTTTTTGCTGTAGGGTGTGTATGTGCTCACCAGAGAGGGGTAGGGCAGGGAGAACTAGAGATCGCCACCTAGGGGGATGGTCATGCCACAATCCTTTCTCTTCCATCTTCCATTCTTTTTTAAAAAACTCTTTTTAAAATTTTAAATATTTTTATTAGAATTTTTTTTTTTTTTTTTTTTTTTTTGCTATAGGGTCTCTGCACTTGCTGGAGAGATAGAAAGCGAGAAATCACTCGCCAGGGAAGATGGTCACACCACAGTCCCTTCTCCTCCTTTCTCTTCTCGGGCGCTTGGGAACGCAAGCACATGGGCCTGGCATGAGTTTCAAGCTGCTGGGTCCGGGACTCGAACCATGTTCAACTGCATGGCAGTCCAGTGATATAACTATTACACCATCTGCTGGTCCCTCTCCTCCATTCTTATCTTGGGGTTTCTGAGCATGCACACACAGGCCTGGTGTGTTTTTCAAGCTGCCTGGTCTGGGATTCAGACTTAGAAATCAGCCATGTGGGATCCAGCGGCCTTAAACACACTGGCCTTCCGTTTTCTTTTAATTGGTTTCATCAAGCATATGCTAATTTCTTTAAAAAAATTAACCATTGACTTTGTTGGTCCTCTCTGTGGTATTTATTTTTTTGAGAGTTTTTTGCTACAGGGCATGTGCACTCACCAGACAGACAGAGAGACAGAGAGACAGAAAGTGAGAAATCACCCCCCAGGGGGGATGGCCATGCCGCAATCCCTTCTCCTCCATTCTCCTCTTGGGATCTTGGGCACGCACGCACACGTGCCTGGTGTGAGTTTTAAGCCACCGGGTCCAGGACACGAACTGCGGTTGACTACGTGGGAGTCCAGCGACATAGCCATTACGCTAACTGCTGGTCCCTCTGTTGTATTTTTTCTACTTCATTACTTTCTGCTAATATTTTTATTTCCTTTTCTCTACTTCCATTGTGCTTTACTTTTTATATTTGTTTCAAATTCATGCGTTGAAAATTATAAATTTTTCTTTAAACATGGCTTTAGCTGCATAAAACCATGCTCTTTAGACAACTTAAATTGGCCAAGTCTTACTCTACTTGGAAGTGGTATGGTTCTGCTGCTGCTTGTACGGCTGTGTTCTGTGCCGTTGTGTGTATTTGTTTTCTTCCGTCATTTCTTCTGCAAACAGCTTGACGTTCACCTTCCTCAGAAAGTGTGTCCCCGACCTATAAGACTAGGCTGGTATCTTGCAGCTTAGGGCAGGGGTCAGGGTGAACTTTCCTGAATGGGAAGGTTCAGGCTGTTAGCTTCTTGGGGTGTCTTTTTCCCTCTTGAGAGGCCTAAAGCTCTGTCTTTGTGTTTCATTTATTTTCTAGTCCATAAAAGAAAGACTGTAGTTCCAAATCCAGGTGCCGTGGCATTTTTGTACTGAGAGATTACTGCTATTTGAATGTTGCTAATAAGCGGGGGCTGGCCCTGTGGGGCAGTAGTTAAGGGAGCCGGATCCCACATGTCAGCTATAGTTTGAATCCTGGCCTTCATGGCTTGAGAAATGGCCCCAAATCCCAATGGGATGGAAAAATGTAAAAGGGAATGTGGTGTGATAACACCTCACTGGGCAGTGCTTTCTCTTTGGTGAGTACACATGCCTTCTGGTAATTTGAAAAAACAAAACAAAAACATAAACATGGAAAATGTTGCTAGTAAGCAGCCTTGGCCAGCTTGTGCCCCTGCCCAGCAGTGACTGCAGCAGCAGCACTTGCACCATCTGTTGAAAAGGACGGCATAGTCCCTCTTAGTGTGAGCCCGGCGAAGCGCTGCTACTGTAATTTCTAAGAGGTAGAAAAGCAGTATTAAATACTCCTAGCACATTAAACAAAACCATTTTCTTCTGGCTAGGGCATGACCTGAGGAACAAGTGTGGCTTTTCCTGGGGTTTCTTCGGGGGCACTCCTGCTGGGCCACGGGTCTTATCACCTAATGTTGTCTTACAGATTGTGACGTCTGCTTCGACAGATCTTCAGGATTACACTTACTACTTCGTACCAGCTCCCTGGCTGTCTGTCAAGCTTCTGAGGCTGCTCCAGTGCTACCCACCCCCAGGTAATTGGCAATGCAGCAAAGACAGGACTAGAGAGTCCTGGGGCCTCACCAGAGAAGACGTGATTCCTTATTTTAGACTTAGGTCTTCGTCACTGCAAGGACGCGGTTCTAGCCCTGGTTCTTGTTTGATATTCCGTGCATCCTGGCTTTCACAGACTACTTATTGGAGAACTTGGGGTTCTGTCAAGATTCAGGTTTAATCTGTGCTTTTTTCCTTTCTTTCTTTTTTAGAGAGATTTTCGCTATAGGGTGCGTATGGTCGCCAGAGAGACAGAGAGACACAGAGGGACAGAAAGTGAGAAATCACCCCCCACTGGGGATGGTCATGCCGCAATCCCTTCTCTTCCAGTCTCTTCTTGGGATTTTGGGCATGCACGCACACATACCTGACATGAGTTTCAAGCCACCAGGTTGGTTGGCCATGTGAGAGTCCAGTGACACTATGCCGTCTGCTGGTCCCTTAATCTGTTCTTTTATGTAGTATCAAATCTGTTCTGTTTTATGGGGGACAATCTTTAAATAAAACTTGAAATCATTAGAAATTTATGTCCTAAAATTTTACTTTATTTTTTAGAGAGATTTTAGCTATAGAGCATGTGCACTCGCTGGAGGGAGAGACAGACAGTGAGAAATCACTCCCTGGGTGAGATGGCCATGTCACAACCCCTTTTCTTCCATTCTCCTCTTGGGATTTTGGGCATGTATGCGCATGCACCTGGTGTGAGTTTCAAGCCACGAGACTTGAACCATTGCTGGCCATGTAGGAGACCAGCAATGTAACCACTACGCCATCTGCTGGTGTCCACCTGGTAGTTTTCCAAGCTGTCGGGTCAGGGACTTAAATCGTGGAGTTGACCATGTGGGGATACAGCACCTTAACCACCACACTGCCTCCTGGCCCTACATCAGGATATTTTTATGTACGTGCTTCATCCTAAGACATCACAGTTGACTCCTGTGATAAGTATCTAGAAATAAAATTTCTTGGTTAAAGAATGTGCATTAAAATTTTTAACAGATATTTCACATCTAAAAAGTTTCCTTTGTTCTAATCTTTACATTTTGGTATAATTTATTATGTATAGAACATTTCTTTGTTTAGGTTAATGACTTTCTGTACTAAATATATACACACACACACACACATATATATATACACACATACACACACACACACACACACACACACACACAGAGGTTTTTTGCTATAGGGCATGTGCACTCGCCAGAAAGACAGAGACAGAGAGACAGAAAGCAAGAAATCACCCCCCAGGGGATGGTCATGCCACAATCCCTTCTCCTCTCGGGATCTTGGGCATGCACACACACGCTCCTGGCATGAGTTTAAGCCACCAGGTCTGGGACTTGAACTGCAGTTGACTACATGGGAGTCCAGCAACTGCTGGTCCCTGTACTAAATATATTTTTATACTAAAATAGTTACCCTGACTGGATTAGGCTGCATACCCTGCATGGAGTTGGTATGGAAGGGGCCTCCTCCTGAGTGAGAGAAGGGCCTCACCTGGCTTCCTGCTCCTGCCTGCCATGCCCTGCCCAGTGCAGCACCATCTCTCTCGCTCCAACAGTTCTTTTGGGCTGGCGTCTGCCTCATTAGAGCATCTGACCATACTCTTTCTGAGACCTGTGGCAACAGTGACGTGCCCACGAGTGTGACTTTTACCTCCTCGTTCCCACTTTTTAATTTAAAAAAATTTGTGATTTCTTATTCCCATTTAATCATTGTACATCCATATAGTACACAGTATGGTTTTTCTTCTTTTTAAAAAAAGAATTGTTTATTTAGTTTTATTATTTATTATTATTATTTATTTAAAGAAATTTTACCAGAGAGAGAGAGAAAGAGAGAGAGAGAGAGAGAATGAATGAGAAAGCAAGCTGCCAGGTCCAAAACTTGAACTGTGGTTGGCCATATGGGAGTCCAGTGCCTTAACCACTATGCTACCTGCTAGCCCCCAATATGGTTTTTCAAAGTATGCATGCAGTATGTGATGATCAAATCCAAGGATGTTACCATCTATGTCATTTTCAACAGAGAATTTTCTGTTTTTGTTAGAGAGTATTCTTGTTCCTGTTGAGTATCTCTTCCCTTTGCTCATCCCACCCACCCTCTTCTACCCTGCCCTTTCCATACAGTCTCTAGTATCTACACTTGTCCTCCCTGTTGTCGTGTCTCTGGATCTTTCCATTTCTGCCATGGAGCACAGATGTTTGGTATATTATTGAGCAGGGACATACAGTGTTTGTCTTTCATAGTCTGACTTACTTTGCTTAGCATTAAATCTTCTGTATTCACTCACATTGTATCAGATGACAGGGTCTCCTTGTTCCTTATGGCTGACTAGTACTCCATCCCGTGCTTGTGCCATATTTTTAATCCAGTCACTGGTTCTTGCCTCATCCCCCCTCTTATTATCATAGAGTGCTAGAGAGAGACAGAGAGAAGGAAAGTGAGAAATCGCCCCCTCTACCTTCCCACCCCCCGGAGCTGGCCATGCCACAATCACTTGTCCTCCATTGTCTCCATGTTTTGGGCACACATGCACAGGTGCCTGGTGTGATTTTCAAGGTGCCAGGTCTAGGACTTGTATTGCCGTTGGCAATGTGGGGATCCAGCACCTTAACCACTATGCCACCTGCTGGCCCATCCTTACTCCCCCCCCTTAAGGACATTCTTTTTAAAATTACTTATTTAATTTTATTTGTTATTATTTTTTAATTTGAAAAGAGAAGGAGAGAAAGAGAGAAAGCGAGAGAGCAAGTTGTCAGGTCTGAGACTCGAACTGTGGTCAACCATGTGGGAGTCTAGCACCTTAACCACCATGCCACCTACTGGCCCTTCTTATTCCCCTTTTAAGCTAGAATTTTTCTCATTTTCTTTAAATATTTATTTATTTATGTAATTCCATTTGTTATTATTATTTTTATTTTAAATTTGATCAGAGAGAGAAAGGGAACCCGAGAAAGCAAGTCACCAGGTCCGGTACTCAAACCATGGTCATCCATGTTGGAATCCAGTGCCTCTAACCACCATGCCACCTGCTGGCACCCTTAAGCTAGAGTTTCTGGTTCTCTCTGAGCCATTTTTTTCTTTTTTTGAGAGGTTTTTGCTATAGAGCGCGTGCACTCGCCAGACAGACAGAGACAGAGAAATAGAAAGCGAGAAATCACCCCCTATAGGGGATGGCCACGCCGCAATCCCTTCTCCTCCATTCTCCTCTCGGGATCTTGGGCACGCATGCATGCACACATGCCCAGCGTGAGTATAAGCCACTGGGTCCGGGACTCGAACCGCGGTCGACTATGTGGGAGTCCAGCAACATAGCCATTACGCTAACTGCTGGTCCCTCTCTGAGCCATTTTTTTTTTTTTTTAAGAGGTTTTTGCTATAGGGCGCATGCGCTCGCCAGACAGACAGAGAGAGACATAGAGACAGAAAGCGAGAAATCACCCCCCAGGGGGGATGGTCACGCCGCAAATCCCTTTTCCTTCATTCTCCTCTCGGGATCTTGGGCATGCAGGCACACGCGCCCGGCGTGAGTTCTAAGCCACCGGGTCCGGGAAGTGAACCGTGGTCGACTACATGGGAATCCCGCGATATAGCCATTATGCTAACTGCTGGTTCCCTCTGAGCCATTTCTGATGTGACAAGGTTTGTGGCATCGTCACCCTCTTCACGCCTCATGCCTCTGTGTTAAAGTTCTTACAGTGCGGCTTCCCTTCGCGGCAGACTCCCCACAGAGTTCAGCTTTTAGCAGGACCGTATGCCTGTCTTGAACTGGTAGTTTTACGACAACCAGGATGTAGAGATGCTTTTTTGGGTAGACGTGTTGCAGGAGTTATTTTCAATGTTCTGTTATTTTTTTCTCTATTTCTGTTGGTAATAGCAGGTAGAGAACAAATCTTTTGTCCTTTTTTCCCTCAGATGTTTTTTATCATGTGTTTTGTTCATGTCTCAGAGATTTTATTTCCCTTTGGCTTACACAATCTATATTACACGAGAAAGTGATCTGTATGTTATTTGATCTGAGATGTATATATAATTTCCATGGCTGTTAAGTCCTCTTCTCTCTAATATTTATTTATAGCTTTGGATAGGAATACCTGCGCGCTGTGATC